GAGAAAACTTCTTTCTTCCCCCATAGACTAGCATTGAATATGCCTATGTGCTGGAAATTATGGATTTAGGAGTTTCTTGTGTATGGGCTCTATGTATAATTGAGAAAGGTCATGCTCTGTCAACTTTACCAAAGAGAAAAAAATATTTTCCAACATTATTAGGATTAATGTGTCGCAAGGTTATTGGAGAATCTTCCTCATGCTTTGTGGTATTCAAACATTTCATTCCATCGGACCCCTCTGAAGCAGCTATGAAAATTGCTGATTTTCCCCACATACTGCACACAAGGAATAGAGAAGTTGCCTCCCCACTGGCTCTTGATTCTATCATTACCTCTAGGTATGCATCAAACAGACAGAGATTTTGCCATTGCTTAACAACTAGTTGTACTTATAATACCGTTACTTCTTTTTAGTTAATAGAGAGTATCATAATCAGGTACCTCTCATCTACCAACTTTCCTGACTTTTCAGCTATAATATATGCCACTTTTAAAATCAGCCATTTTTTTCTTATTTGTGTCTTAAAAATAGCATGTATCTGGTTTAGAGCGGTGGTTTTTAATATTAAATCATGAAGATGATAATCTGATAAAAATCATAGTTTCTTACAATCCAGAATTCAAACCAGATTATACTAATTTAGATAGTATTAAAAGTCTCCATTCTAAGAATTTTAATATTTGCATTGGTTTTTATAATCACAGATATATAAGTGATCTGATTTTAATATTCACCATCAGATTTTCTCTTCTGCAAATTTCATGATTCATAAATTATATTGCTTTCTTTTTTTACAAACTCAAAAATGTTTTCAAAGGATATTAAGATTGGTTATTTTCTGATCCTTTACCAGACAATGTATTTTGTGGTAATAAGATGAGAACTTAATTGCTTCTTTTCAAAACAAAGGTATTGTTTTATTGTCCTTAAGCATGGACTACAAGAAGTCAGAGTGATTTCTTTTTAAAGTGGCAAGGTATTAATACTTCTCCCAGGAAACCTGAGTGGCTCAGCCATTTAAGTGTCTGCCTTTGGCTCAGGGCCTGATCCCAGGGTCCTGGAATCGAATTCCACATCAGGCTCCCTGCATGGAGCCTGCTTCTCCCTCTGCCTCTCTATCTCTCTGTGTCTCTCATAAACAAAATAAATAGTTTTAAAAAATAAAATAAATATAAAATAAAATAAAATAAATAAACACACCTTCCTGATGCATACATTTTTTTTAAAAAATATGTTTTTACTTTTACCATTTTACTAGGATAAAATTGTTCATGAGGCTGATCTCATTCAATTTAAAATGTAGTACACCCTAACTGACATATATTCAAATCATTTTAGCACTTGAATATTTCCCTCCTCTTTAACCATGTCTTTGTTTCTATCATTTTTATTTCCCTACACATTTTAGATTTATCTGTACATGGTTTCTCTTGTTATTTTTCATCAAATTTACTAATATATAATTTATATACAATTAAAAATATTCCTTCAAAGGGTACCATGAGTTATGCCAGAGTTACAATATATCTGTGTAAATGTTACACAATCAAAATACAGGATATTTTTTCTCCACCCAAAAGTTCTCTCATACTTATTTGCAATCAATTCCTGCTCCCCTGGGACATCGTCATCATTTTTACGCTTCTGTAGCTATGAATTAGTTCTGCCTATCCTGGGATTTTATACAATGAATCATGCAGTTAGTTCTGTATTGCATCTGGCTTTTCTTGACCAACATACAGTTGCTATTTGAATTTTTCTAAACATTTTTCTTAGCTAATCATTTCCTTTCTCAGCTTATTCTTTTTGCATCATGAGCTATTACTGCCTTGCATATTCATCATGTTATTTTATCTCATCCTTGCCTACTCCTTTTTATCCTTTTAATTCTCAGTGTCTCAAACTAAAATTTAATTTTGTCGATGTCTTTCTGTAGCATATAAGTGTTTCAGAAATGCTATCCTATTTATCTTTCAGAATCAAATTCACGTTTATTTTGCACTGCCTTTTATTTTTTTAACCTGGGTCTAATTTTAGTTCACCTAGCATTAACATTTTGAATGTTAGTTCAAAATAAGACACAGTCAGTTTTGATCATTGTTAAGATTTCATTTCTGCATGTAACTTGTCCCCATGTTACGTCTAATTACACGCTGGTAAAATCTTCCATATCTGAACTGTTAGAGATTGTTTATATTTCCAAACCAAATTTCTATTATTGCCATGTCTTCATGCTGAGCAACTCTACCAAATCACAGAGGAAACTAGTATCTCTGTCTCTTATCTATGTTTCAATACCTGGCAATTAAACTTCAAAAGCCATGTCCCCCACAATACTCTATTGCAGTCTGTCTTCCCGTACTCCTTCCTTTAGTTACCCCTTTGATAAAGTTTATCATTTTAGGAAACATAAACCTTAGTTAGTATTTGGAGTGCAGGGAAAAAGATGAAGTTAAAGACCCTCAAAACACAGGCTATATTGGGTGCCTGGGTGGCTCATTTGGTCAAGTGACCAACTCTTGATTTCAGCTCAGGTGTCATCTCAGCGTCATGGGACTGAGCCCACATCACGCTCCCAGATAAGCAGAGAGACTGCTTGAGATGCTCTCCTTCTCCCTCTACCGACCCCCTTCCTCATGTGCACACTCTCTCTTTGGCTTTCAAATATATATATTATTATATATATATATATATATATTTTTAAACAGGGTATATTTTATAAAAGTTGGGATAACTATAGGTAACTTACAAAAGATTCTTTGCATTTATATAATAATGTACTAAATATTTCAAACACAGCCATGCTTTAGAAAGCAAATTTCTTTATATTGGAACTCATAAATATCTTTTTTTTTCTGTACCTGATTATTCTTTTCCTTTCCTGACTTGGTTCTTTTTTTCTCATATTTCTTTAGTGATTCTGTTCAAACTAAGTTATTTTTCCAGAGGTCTTAGAGATATTTTGAAGTAGGGAAACACGATCTCTCAATTCTGTTTAATGTGTATATACAGAAAAGCTAATTATATCTATCCATTCTGAGTAAAACAGATTATTGAATCTTTTTCAGTCAAATATCTCAGATATGTTGTAATTTCTTGATAATGGAGTTGACTTATGAGCATTCCTATTTCTTTTTCTAAATAGGAAATTCAAATTAAATATAGTATCAAACACCACAATTACTTGTTAGTACTTAAAATATAAATTTTAAAAAGAAATAGTAAAAAGTCTTTTGAAATAATGGGGATCAATGTTCTGTTTGTATTAATATAGACACTATAAATGAAATAATGCAATCTCAAGTACCCATTTGTATGCAAAAAAATCAATTTGTATGCACACACTACTCTTCTTTATGGAAGAGATTTCTTAAGGAGTAGAGTTCAAAACAATTTCCAATTAACCTTTAGTTACAAAAAAGCATGAAACTGAAAATAAACTTTTTCTGAATAGTAAGACAATATATTGCTAATTTGAAGTAGAAGTGCTGCAGTGATGAAAAACTATTAAGACACAAAGTAAAATTTGAACTTTTTTTTTAAAGAACAGCATCTAAGAGAAATTCAATTTTTATTTATTTAGCAACAAATATTCTTTTTATTATGAAGCAGTTCCCTTTTCTGCCTAATTATAGAAACATTAGAGAACATATGGCATATCCTAGAGAGTCAGTATATAACATTATTAGGTGATATCCTACATAGTCTTTAAGAATTGTATAACTACATTATGAGTAGGAAAATATTAGTATTTAAGGGCCAGAATAAATGTTTGCTGTTCTTGAAAAATTTTACCTAAATTTTTAGCTTTACCTAGGTGTCATTGTTTTATACTTCCACAGTGACTTAAAGATCTCCTTCAGTGATACTCTACCTTCTAATTATTGGTTTAATTGCTACCAGACTGTAAATCTATAACACTTATTACTTTTTTTTTTCATTACAATGGCCCAATGAACTTGGTGTATGTTTTAATTCTTAATCATGGTGCACACTGCCTCTAGTTAGTTCAGGGGTTATATATACTCTATCTATTGTCTCTGAGTGTCTAGTGTAGTATCTGTTTGACTATTATATCACTCTTTTAAATGAACCAAAATATAGTTTAGATAAAAATAGGCATCCTTTATCCTTATCCTTTTATTAATACCGGTTTTCATATTTTATTTGTTCTTTTTATCAAAAAATTTTACTGAAACTTAATTTCTTATATAGCTTTTAAGCATATAATGCAGCTGAATTTTTTCTTTGTTAAGTTTAAACCCCAAACTTGTACCAGGAATTAAAAAAAAAAAAGAGAGAGAGACATATCAAAGAATTTAAAGTTCAGTCTCACTTTTAACAGAGCTGTTCAAGCCTAGGTACAGAGCAAAGATGTGTGATAGAAAAGGGTGTGTTATAAGACCACTCAGTCTATTAAAGGAAATGTGAGGTTTTGAAAAAACAATAAGCAGCAATATCAAAATAACTCGACAGAGCTACAGTCCTTCAGATTGGGTTGTTTTCTTTAATTTTCTGTGACACCTGTGCTCTTTCCTGGTGCCCCTTTCATATTTGCAGCTACAATGATTATAGACACAAACGGCTTACTCATGAGTACTGGTTAAAACCCAAGAAGTCCAAGTTCTTCCTAATTCACTATGACCTAGAAGTGAGATTTTAGGCAATCAAGTTAAAGACTCTAGGACCACATTTATTCAGATTTACAGGCTGCATTTATCATTTTTTTTTCTCTAAACAAGATTGTCTTGGATAACAGCAACCAAATAACAAATATATGAACAAACAGCTCTAAAAACCCAGAATATTAAGGAAGTTCAACTATAAAACTCAAGTTACAGTTTGACTTAGAGTAATAAAGTACAACAAAAAATTGAATTAGATTAATCTTTTATCTCAATTTAGATAACTATCTCTATGTCATTTCATGTTTATAGCAACAAGAATTATAGAAATGTAACTTTTTGTCAGGCAGGTAGGTTATTTTTTTATTTTTTTTCTAGACATAAAGTGTTTATTTGGTTGTTAAAAAATTAAAAAGCATGGATGGAGGAGGCTGTCGCTCAGGCCTGTGCGTTCTGCTCCGCGGCTCTGTCTACCACGCGGACCCAGGGGCTGCCCCGTAGGTAAAAGCGCAGGGGCTTCCGGGCCCACTCTCCTGCGTGGCCGATGCCCACTCTGGCTGCTGCCACCACGACTGGCTCGCTGGGCCCCGGCGGGCTGCGCTCCAGCCACACCGCTCGGTCCTCGGCCAGGTCCCGCTGGTCAAAGCTCTTGTCGATGGCCAGGGCCTGGCACAGCTTGGAGGGGCCGCTGCACGGCTCGCGCTCCTTGAGGGCTCGGCCCGTGGCGCCCTTGCGGAGGGTGCTGCGGGGCTGCCGCATGGTCTCCAGGCCCCCCAGGGGCTCCAGCGCTCGCAGGAGGACGCACGCCCCAGCCCCTTGGCTGGAGACGTTCATGCAGAAGTACATGCCATAGATGATGTACACATACAGAGTTCCTGGCTTCATGAACATGCCGCGGCTGCGGGGGGGCTGCCGGCCACCCCTAGAGTGGGCAGCTTCATCCTCTGGCCCCAGATATGCCTCCGTCTCCACAATGCGGCCCGGAGCTCTGTGCCATCGTCAAGTCCCGGACTAGGACCTGTCCCAGAAACGCCCGTGCCAGGGCGACGGCAGGCTGGTCAAAGAAGTCCGATCCCAGCTGCGCAGAGTGGCTCCTTGGGCCAGAGAAATAGATGCTGCACCGAGGGCCCAGGGTTGCCGGGGGCCCCAAGCAGGGCTCCCCAGGGGACGGCGTCTGGGCCCTGCCCCGCGGGCTCTCACGGTCTGCCTCCAACACTCGCTGCCTTTTTTGGCCCGTCCTGCAGGAAAGCTGGGCCGCGCCACGCGCCGTCATCCCACGCCTCCGGCGGGCTCCGAGAGGACGGGGTCCGGGTGCACGGGGTCCGGGTACGCGGGGTCCGGGTGCGCGGGGCTCCCGGCGGCCCCGACCCGCCCCAACCGCGCCGCCCGCCGTCCGCCCCAGGGCGCCCCGGAAGTGGCAGGTAGGTTATTTAGGGAAAGAGAGTTCAATAAGTGAAAGTATGTCAGTTGAGTTTATCTGCTGCAGCTTTCTACGGTGCCCATGATGGTATTTTTCCTCTTAGTCTTAGTAGTTAATGATACAATTTGAGTAATTTAGGGAATATCTCCATTTCCCACAAATTGTCTCGAACGTTTTTGCTATTCCTGAAATTCATAAGGATTTAGATTATAATTTAGATTCATAACTAGCATAGATGTCTATCTAGTACCTTGTCATCAAGTATTAAGTGAATGAATTAGGCAAATATATGAGGTAACACATTACTATTCTAATAATTATTAATTCAATTCAAGCATCTTAATCAGATACTTATGAGTAGAAAGTGTGTATCAGACTATCATGATTTTCTGGGTGGAGGCAAGTAGATTAAAAGACTAAAACACTAGAGCAATGAAGGGAACAGGATGTCTTCAAGCCTAAAGCATTAGTGAAAGGGTTCAGATTTTTAAAAGGAAAGAAAGGGGTTAAAAACCAATAAATTAGTACTAAGATAAAGTTAGGCACTTCAAAATTTTAACTTAAAGTAATATGTATCATCCACAAGTGTTTGGAGACCACATTCTACAAAATATAATCCCCAACATCCTGGCTCAGTGCCTAAATTTCAGGAAAATGCAGAGTAGGAAAGTAATTTGACAGATTGTGAAAATGGAAGATTCAAGGACTATCACTGCAATGCAGGTCTCTGCATATGTTTTATCTAAACAAAATCTGCTCTGGAATAATAATTCATGGGAATTTCTAAAATGAGAAATTTATCTAGGTGGAGAGTAGAAGTTTAAGGCCATTTTGTGTACCTATTAGGCACAATTATTTGAAGAGCCCTCTCCAAAGTTACCCGTAAAAGAGTTTGAGGTAGTCTATTGGCCTTAACACTTTACAGCCTTGCAAATAGCAATAAAAATACAAGAATAAGGAAAAAATTTAAAAAGGTATAAAATCACTCTTTCTATCATCCCCTTATCTATCCCTGTATAGATAATGATAAATCTATTGCTGAGCAACAAATTACCCCCAAACTTAGGAGTTGAAAACAATAAGAATTTATTCTATTAGAGTTTCTATGAGTCAGGAATTCTCACATAGCACAAATTAAATGAGTGCTTCTAGTTCAAGATCCCATAAAACTACAGCCAAGCTGTCAGCTGGGGCTGTAGTCTTATGTGAAGGCTCAACTGGGGAGGATCCACTTCTAACTTTGTTAGAGGCAGTTAATTAGGAGGCCTGGTGGCCAGCAAAGGGAAAGTCCTAGCGAGCTATTTGGGAAGTCAGAGGCCTGGCAGCCCTCAAAAACAAAACCACAAGAAGCCAGGTCAAATCAGATGGGCCTAAGATGGTGGGTGTCTTGATAGGAAATCCTGGACCACTTAAGAAAGAAAACGGATGAAACACTGCTTCCAAGAAATCCCTATCTCAAGTAATGAATATCCTACCCTCTAGTTAAAAACTCCCAATAAAAGATAGAAACCCAAACCCGGGTTATGCTGCACTCTCTTTTGAGCTCACCCACTCTCACATCTTAGGAGTGTACTTTCACTTTAATAAACTTTCCTGCTTGTATTGCTCATCTGTTGTGTTGTGTCTATCTCTGAATTCTTTCTCAGGATAAGACCAAGAACCTTCAAGATACCTTTTAGATGGGCTATGTCAAGGCCTCAGGGCTTGAGGCCTCCCTAGTCCACCCAGTCACAAACACACCTATTGCAACTGGTAGGTCTCAGGTCCTCTCTGGCTGCTGGCCGCAGACATCAATTGTTTGTCATATTGGTCTCTCCATACGGTTGCACACAACCTGGTGGTTTACTTCCCCAAGAATGTAGAATTCAGGAGAGATTGAGAAAGCAATGTTTCAAGGCAGAAGCAACAGTCTTTTGTATAACCTAATCTGAGAATTAACATCTCATAACATCTGCAATATTCTGTGGATTAGAAATGAGTCAATAAAACCAGATCCAGCTCAAAAGAAAGGGATACACAAGGGCATAAATAGCAGGAAATGGAAGTACTAAGAACTATCTTACAGTCTGCCCGCCGTACTCACACCAAATAGTACAAAATGAAATCTTGAGCTATTTTTATTTTATTATTAAAAAGATTTATTTATTCATTTTAGAAAAGGCTGAAGGAGGAAGAGAATTTCAAACAGATTTCCTGCTGAGCATGGAGCCTGATGCAGGGCTTGATCTCTAAACCCTGAAATCATGACCTGAGCTGAAATCAAGAGTCTGAGGCTTGACTGAGTAAGCCATCTGAGTGCTCCTGTTATTTGAATCATACCTTTGTTATATGGGCTTTTATATTTTAAAGATTTAAGGAGGTGAAAAACAAATATGGATTTTTAAAGAAAAAACTGCTTTGAGGGTCAACAAATATTTTCACCTTTTTTTCTGCTCATTTCTAGGCTTCCTTGAAAAAATGTGCACGCATGAAGAGTTCGACATACTGCAATCAGAGCATTTTATCATAGCTTTCAGAAAGAAATTACCGCTAAATTATGCAAATTGCCTTAATCAACTGGATAAATATGAGTGTGAACAAAACATAAAGTGTTGTTGAAAATTCATTGATATGCATGTTATCATATTCATCATTCTTATTGTTAGTGAAAGGCCTGTAAGAGCCTCAGGAAAATATGAGTTTCCTGTTTCAATTTCTGTACTCTGGTATTTGTCTATGCTTTGTTGTTTTATTATTGTTACTGTCAGTAAATTTGACAACAAAGTACATAGAGTCATGAAAAAATAAGTAGGTGTAATATTGTCTGATTATGTAAAAAAGCAGTTTGATAATTTTTATAGTTTTTCAGTTTAACTGACAAAGAAATTGACCTAACTTTCCGGAGATTTTTTTACATTAAAAACAGAAACATAGAAACACAAAGTTTTTTTAAGGGAAAAAAAAGAAATATGGCCCAAAACAAAAATCTAAATATTAGCTAAAAAATCACTTTTGAAATGACGAAAATATACTGACTAAAGACAGGGGGAAAATATTGTTTAGTCTATGATTGCACAAAAACAATCGTTAGAACTAGAAAAGATTTCTTGCTTAGTTTTAGTCACTGTTATCTTCAATTGAGGAAGAATGTGAAGTTCTTAAGAGTAAGATTGCAAAAATGTTATTTATGAAACATCCTCCATCACATTTTAAATATTGTATTTTATCCAAAAATATATCCTGAAATAATGGTTGATTCTAACATTTATTTTTAAATGTCCCCTCTCATGCATCTAACTACGTTTCTATGAGATAAGTTTTAATTATTTTCTGAATTCACATGTTGATCTTTTCCATTTTTTACCTTAAAGTTCATGGTCTTATACAAAAACATTTTATCTTATACAAAATTTGCTTAATACAAAAAACAAAATTCCCGCAAGTATATATTTTCCTCTAAAATTTCCTCAAATTCCATTTTAGTCATTTTTCATGGAAACTATTTCACAATTTATTTTCTTTTCCCTAATTACCCACTTCACATTATTAGAATTAACATGTTTTATTTTTTTTTAATTTTTATTTATGATAGTCACAGAGAGAGAGAGAGAGAGGCGCAGAGACATAGGCAGAGGGAGAAGCAGGCTCCATGCACTGGGAGCCCGATGTGGGATTCGATTCTGGGTCTCCAGGATCGCGCCCGGGCCAAAGGCAGGCGCCAAACCGCTGCGCCACCCAGGGATCCCGAATTAACATGTTTTAAATATCCGTAAGGAAACATAATGTTCAATAAGGACTTTGAAGTTTACAAGGTTTGCACACAGTCTTGGCCCTGAAAGAGAATTCTACTGTGTTTATAATTCTAATAGATGTAGTCTCGTATAATGTTAGCATGCCGGCGATATTTTACATGTTGCAGTAATGAGGAAATAGGATGGATATAAGATCAAGAGGTAGAACTTGGAATAGAGAAGAAAAATGAGGCCGGAGAAGATTGATTAATTGCTCTTGGGTATCGATGCAGCTGGGTTAAAAATCATGTTACTTCTAGCAGGATCACACACTTCCTATGTAATAAAATGATTTATCTTTTTGGCAAAAGCTTTCAAATATGTGTCTCTCATGAAGTAACCATCATGTGCTACTATTGCAACCTATATATTACACAGACTGACAGTATGTTCAGAGATAAGGCCCTTATTCAGCAAATTTTGCCCAGACCTCAGCACTGTATAAATTACCTGTGCATCTGAAAATTATTAGCTTTGGGTCTACTTCTTGGGAGTGTGTCCTTTATATAGTTTTTGATAAAGTACTCAATCTGAGAATAATCTTTTCTTTCCTAGTGAGGCATAAGTTGTGTATTTCAACTACTAATATAATCAAGAAAATAAGTAGATGACATTTTTTTATAAAATAAAATGTTTATATAAAAATATAACCATATGCAGAAATACTTTCTTCCTCTTTCTGAAACTTTGTCAGACATAATGCAATAATTTAGAAAGACAAGAAATAGCAATGTAAGATGAAAAGAGAAGTAAACTTATAAAGCAGAATTTATAAAATACTGCATATTTTCAGTTGTTCATGAGTACAACAGGCTTTCTGTGAAAGATCAATTTGGGTTTTGAATAATTTAAAAATTGAATCTGAAGAGACATGATAAAAATACTCTTTGTTGACTTATTCATTCACCAATTTGCAATTACCCAGCAGCATTTAGCAAGTGTTTACCATCTTTATGTGTCCTCTGAAATTGAAGAATAAGAGTGTTGGCAGGCTCATGAGATTAAGAGCAAGTCAAGATTGTTTTTGACCTATGACATATTCCAAATCTGAAAAAGTCACATGGGACCCAAAGCAACTAGGGCTGTCTTCTTCAAGACAAAGCCCACTTTGGTCTTGGTCTTAAGCACTGAAGTG